TATTCTTTTAATCCTGACACAACTCTCGTCAATTCTTTTAATCTCACAACAACTACCCCTCTCATTTTCATTTTAGTCTCAGAACACAAACCCTTTTGTATTTAAAGCTCACTCAAATATGGTTGTCCTCATGGGTAGGTTTGTCGATTCTGACATTCCATTGAGGTATTTCTGATAAGCACTCAGTCCCTCCTAAAATTACATTTTATGCTCAAGTGATCACAATGATTGATCAAAAATATTATTGCAGATAAGTACAATGATCAGATAAAATTTGATCAAGAAATTTGGCTTTAAGCACAATCAATAAGAAATGATGCGACAACGATCAGATTATACAGTATATGAGAGAAATGAATGAAGATCTGTAAGAACGAGTTTACAGATTCTGATATTAAAAAAATGAATGTATATCAATCAAAGAAAAAAAATATCAGAAAACAACATTTGAATACAAACGAGCGTATTATCACCGAAAATGATTTTCTTATAAGAGACGTGATAATAACAGTTTGAAGAATAGCTGAAACAGGTATTGGAGTTATGTACGACGATAAATTACGCAAATAAAATCTCAGAAAATATTTGTTCAGAAAATGTACTCGTTTCAGAAAACAGTTCCATTTCCGAAAACATTTATTCAAAATTTCTAGAGACTCCCCCTAGAAAAAGGATTTAAGTAATATTTCAATTTAGCTCAAAATAATAAAAATTGAAAACATTTTGAGCACGGGTTCTAAACTGAGTGTTTAGAAACCACACTCGGTAACACATGGGTCCTGAACTGATGTATTCAGAAGCCTTGTTTGGAATAAATTACAACTCCCCCTGCATTGGTGTATCACTGAAATGATATTCTAATCAGCACAAAATTGACACACCTGCAAAACCAGATTAAGTAGATTTTGGTACCCAAATGAATTTGGGTCCTATTTTGTTAGTATCAGGTTGGGGTATGTTGTAATTTCCAAACCATCTATTCCTATAAGATCTATTCTTTTTAGCACTGTGAACAGGATGATCATGAATAAAATATGATCCGTACCAGTAATTGTGATCATACTTGTTCTTACCTTTCGAACTGTTCTGATATTTGTTATAAATCTTCTTGTTCACAAAATCTGTTGATTTACATGTGGAGCACATGATCATTTTCTTGCTAAGATTTATCAAGTCAGAATTGGATCTCACAAAACAAGGAAGATTATTAGTAGCAACAGGAGTACGAGATGAAACAGATTCAGATTTACAAACCCATATGCTTTTAATTTTAGAAGAATAATTGGGTGATCCAATGACGTACCCTTAATAATACTGATTAGAAGAACGAGAATAGTTCTTAGAAACGGTAGATTTAGGGCTACTCGAATAACTGTTTGATTTACCACAGTTATGGGAGCTTGTTTTACACTGTGAAGGAGAACCAATTAAGCTTTGTGCACAAGAAAAGTCTTTCACTTTTTGTAAAAGATGGTCTCTTTCAGCAGTAACTAAATCAAATTTATTTTAAGTTCAGTTCTCATCTTCATCTCAGTTTCAAGGTCTGTCTTTAGATCAGACAATTTGCTTGTAGTGTCCAGGAGTTTACCTTCTAACTCCTTCTGAAGCATTTCAAATTTTCTCTTTTGATTTATCAACTCTCATTTCTCTTCATCTGAGCTGCTCTTGTCATTCTCCGAGGCAATGTCAAGCCACTTTTTCTTATTTGCCAGCTCTTTAGCAATTGCTGTATACTTCTTTGAAGTATTTCTTTTCCCTATAGCAAATTACTTTTTCTCTTCGTCTAAAGCCTTAAGCTTTAGATCAATGCTTTCAGACAATTTCTGTAATTGACTCTGACAGTCTTCGGAAATGTCTTTCTTTTCTTTATCATTCTTGACTCGTTCCAAGATGATTAGCTGCTCAAAATCCGAGATTTGCTTTAACAGCATCTTTGCGTTCAGCTCGAGAGAGTTTATCTTTTTCTTGTAAGATACACGTTCATCTCCAAATTTTCTTTCTATTTCAATCACTCTCTTCTTCTCTTTCTCAAGTTTCTTCCTCTCAACATTCATATCCTTTTCCGCTTCTAAAACCTTTTCTTTATCTTTTTCCAATAACTTCCTAACATTAATAACTTTCTTTTCAGCTTCATGAAGTTTCTCTGTAAGCTCTTCAGTCTCTTTAGTTTTCTTTTCTGGAAAATTCCTTATAGCATTCAGTTCAGACTCTGCTTTATGAAGTTTATTGACTAAATCTTGTTTTATCTTGTTTGAACTTCTAATTTCATCATCTAACTCACTCCTTTCAGAATCCAAAGTTTTCTCATGTTTATTAATCTTATAATTCAAATCATTCTCAAATTTTTCCAATGCTGCTTTATGATATTTTTGTAAACTTGCAATAAGTTCCACATTAGCATAATTCTCAGAAAATATGTTTATATATTTATTTTATAGTCCATTATACTCTTTTCCAACATGGAAATCTGAGTTCTCAATACTTTATTCTCCTCCTCAAGAATATTCGCCATTTTAAAAAATAAGATTGATCAGATATATGATCA